AGATTTGGGATTTGAGAGATTTGGGATTTGGGAGATTTGGTATTTGGAAGATTTGGGATTAGAGAGATTTGGAATTCGGGTGATTTGGAATTCGGGGGATTTGGAATTTGGGTGATTTGGAATTCGGGTGATTTGGAATTCGGGTGATTTGGAATTCGGGGGATTTGGAATTTGGGTGATTTGGAATTCGGGAAATTTGGGATTCGGGAGATTTGGTATTCGAGAAATTTGGGATTCGGGAGATTTGGGATTCGGGGGATTTGGGATTCGGGGGATTTGGAATTCGGGGGATTTGGGATTTGGGGAGATTGGAATTTGGGGAGTTTGGGATTTGGGGAGCTTGGGATTTGGGGAGTTTGGGATTTGGGGAGTTTGGAATTTGGGGAGTTTGGAATTTGGGGAATGTGGGAATTGGGGAATGTGGGAATTGGGAAATGTGGGAATTTGGGAAATGTGGGAATTTGGGGAATGTGGGAATTGGGAAATGTGGGAATTGGGAAATGTGGGAATTGGGAAATGTGGGAATTGGGAAATGTGGGAATTGGGAAATGTGGGAATTGGGAACTGTGGAAATTAGGGAATGTGAGAATTGGGAAATATGGTAATTGGAAATTTGAAAATTGGGAAATTTGGGATTTAGAGAATTAGGAATTTGTGAATTGTGGAATTTGACGCCGTAGACTTTGAAAATCTAAACATTTCGAAATTTGAACGTTTCAGACTCCGTAAGAGAGTAAACATTGATCATTGTCCACGTCTATCTCCGAAACGTGGGAACGAGTCAAGTGTTTAACTCGAACGATTGCCGGGAGCGACAGGCGAACTGACGCAGACCACACAAAGTTCATGAATGATATTCGGAATAAACGAGCAGGCGTCACTCACACTTATATTTTGATATTTTCGACGCTATTTTAAATTACACGAATCTTATTTTCTCACTGTACGAAGGTCTTTGCGTTTGTATCTGGTATCTCCTCCAGGATTACGTTTGAACTTTTGAACTCCCTGAATTGATCTACATAAGAAATACGCGCAATACTTCCTTGAGAAAAATCATGCATAAAAATGTATTCGGAAGAAGCTCAGCATGCGGCTGCCATCTTGAGAACAATGCGGATGACCTTCAATTCCTTTTTGCGATAAAAAAATGCATTTAATGAATTCATAGCGTACCGCGAGCAAAGGTCAGCTATGTACGATGCAGTTTGATCAACGTTACGAATTTCAAGAAATGACTCACATTGGTAATCTGTATGCATAGTTGTTTCCAAACATCTTTGTCGCGAGTAGATTTTCACGAGCGTTGTGCATTTGGTATTCTTCCATTAGTTAGTGGCAAACATTTGATAAAAGATACCACTATCTATATGCGTTACCAAACTGGAGAAAGTGTAGAGAATTTATTTTGGAAAGAAGTAGAGCGACAAGCTTGAGAGACTACCATTTTCGATTAAACTGCAAATAATAATGATTTAATCGACTTTCGAGGAACAGTGATTAAATCTTGTTACGATTGAGACATAGTTGTATAAATAGATGCTTTCGTCAAGTGTTTCACAAAAATACAGCAATGTTAAGGCGTATGCTAATGAGTTATCTCGGAGAAATCGTTCAACGAATCTTTCTTCATATTTGACGATAACGAAATAGGGAACATTGAATTGACAGTATGCCATGGATGTAAGAATTTGGAAAGTTTCAGGAATTTTTTAATTCTATTTAGAAGTGGAGGTTCAGAAATTTGTAGGTTTAGAGAATTTAGGAATTTATAAATGTTAAGGTGTGATCATTCAAAAATTGTAATATGACCTTCACAGGACGTTTCAAGGTGGTGTAGATCAGCACCTAAGTTTAAAATAAACCGAATATATATTAAATTTGAACGTTTCGCATTGTTGCAGATGAACCACGTTCAAGGTGCAGATCATGGGATGACGTAGGTCCGACTAAAATGGAAACTGTCGGGCAAACGCACAGACAGCATCCTTCGTTGGAGGCAACCAGGTCCAACACTTCGACGCAATCTGCTAGAAGCGAGGACTCTTGGTGCTCAGCGTCGGATCATGACCTCTCCTCGGACGATGAAAGCGAGAAGAGTAATATCAGTATTAAGTAAGTAACGTTTTATCGCACCATTTCCCGTACAGTCATTGTTCCTCCATTATTGGAAAATGTACAATTATACCCTTCCTCTATAAAGAGAACTAATAGTCTGAATAATTTTTACAGAAGTAATTGCCAGTTGAGGAACACGTTACACAAGGCGAGAACGCTGTGTGACAAATGGAGACCGCAGAATATGCGAGTGAACAATGCTGACCCATTGGATTCGCCCGGGAACCATGGAAGACTATCCAGATGGTTTAGCATTCGGAGGGGGTCGACGCAACAGTATGACGTTGACTCCTCCGACACTGTTTCCCTCACCAGTCCCATTAAAACACCTCAAATGCCGCAACTGTGCGAAGTAATTACATTAGGATTTAGTTTTTCTCTTTTCAAACTTAATTCTTTTGGTATCTGTATCATATTGAATATGAACATTCTGTTTGTTAATAACCAGATTGTATAGATAGTGTGTTAAAGGAAGACCATTTACTTCTTTTTTGTAAGATTTCATTCCTTTGTTCAGAGCAGTTTCCTTCGAGCTTAATTCCTTTAACACACACCACTATAACATATATATACACTATACAAAAACTGTTTTCGAAGAGATTAACATTCTACAATTTTTACAAGAACTTCATACTCAGAAAATTTATTATGTATCTGTTTTAGGTGGAAGAAGAAAACAGCGCGATGGTGCAGTTCCAGTGTATGCAACAACGTAGACAAACGCCGCCTGCGCTTCCACCGACACCTCCGAATTTAACTCCTCAACAGTTGAAGCGTCGACACATAGTAGCCGCTATAGTGCACTCCGAGAACAGTTACGTGTCTACATTGCAGAGGCTAGTGAATGTATCGTATCACCACTAATACCAGTATTCGAGCCCCTTTCGCGGAATTGAGGATCACGTTGAAGATACGCGTTCCGTTTCAGGATTACAAGAAACCTTTGGAGGAATCCTCACCGCCTATATTAAGTCAGGCGAAAATAGCGACGTTGTTTCATAGATTGCCTGAGATTCTGCAATGCCATACGTTGTTCAGAATCGCGTTAGCGGAATGCGTGCGTTCATGGGACAAAGATGAAAAGTTAGGAGACGTGTTTGTAGCCAGTTTCAGCAAAGCTATCGTTCTTGACATTTATAGCGGGTTTATAAATAATTTTTCAGTAGCTATGGATTTGGCTAAGCAGGAGTCTAAGAGAAAGACTGCCTTGGCTGATTTTTTCAAGGTTTGTCTTGCATCACGGGTTTTTTTATGATTGTATTTTTAGTAAAGTAATGATTGTATTTATCGCTGTCGTATTTATAGGTGAAACAAATTAGCGCACATGACAGACTATCCTTTTTCGGATTAATGGTTAAACCAGTACAGAGGTTTCCACAATTTATACTATTCTTACAAGTAAGTATACTAATGAATGTATTCTTCGATGCAACGTAGGCATCCTTTGAATAAGAGAGAAGTATCGTACATTTGCTGCACTCCCAAATTTTCTAAAATTGAAAACCTACAAACCAAGAAAAAAGTCTGATCTGATGGATTCCTTCCTCTGCATTGCCATTTTCCCTAGGGACGCCTACCGTGCACAGAAGTATACGTTTAACTTGATTTCCGCTAATTGCATCATAGTGATACAAACTTTCATTAGGACTTATTGAAACATACGCCCCAAGGACATCACGATAGAATGTCGTTACAATTAGCGTTGACCCAATTAGAGAGCCTGGCTGAAATGTTGAACGAAAGAAAACGAGAAGCGGAACAGTTCCAGGCGTTTAAAGAGATGTTACGACACGTGTCTGGAAAATTATCTCATCGTCCTCTTTCGTCGTCGTCCAGGTATCTCATAAGGGAAGATAACGTCACGCAATTGGTAAGCATTATCACTTTGTAATATAGGATCACAATGATGAATTACTTACGTTACGTTTAATTGTTGTAGGAGTTTAATCAAAATGGAATGATAACGAAGTCCAAGAGGAGAAGGTTATTGTTATTGAATGATCTCGTAGTGTGCGTTTCCGTAACCCCACGGTCCACGGAAGACTTCAGTGGAAGCGAGAGACTAACCTTGAAGTGGACATATCCTGTATCAGATATTGAGGTACAAATACAATTTAATATTTTTAGAACATCCAATAATTAATAATCAACTGATAGGCAGTCGTGATAGTAATAACATGTATGTATTGATACAGATTCAGGATACAAGTACTTCGCCAACATTGAGTCGCTTACTGACTGCTGGTTTAAATAAAGGTGGCAGTCTGAAGTCTGACAAAAGCGGAGAATGTGGACAAGCGGGTGCGGATAATCTTTGTGTAGAAATGAGCGATTTAATGCACGATTACGAGGTGATGTCTAGGATAAGTGACTTAGTTGCACAACTAAAGGGCAAATACGAGGTAAGAAAAAATTACATAGAAAAGTAAACTAGTTATATGATATTGTATCATTTGATCATTTGATAATGTTATGCTTATAGGGAATGACATTGGAAAAAACTAAGCAAATCTTACAATCCATACAACTTTCGATACAACAAAAAGATGAGGATATGGTTTGGGCAGACAGTTGTTGTTTGCAGTTAGTAACGAAGCAAGGTCAAATGTATACGTTCCAAACAGAGAATCCTTTAGTGAAAAAAGACTGGATAACTGAACTTAGGTTAGCCCAACTAGCCTTGGATCCGAACAATTCTCCTTCTTGGGAAGTACCTGAACAAGAACAAAGACCATCCACAAAAATGCCACTCTTTGTTAGCTCGCAACAGGTGTATCATTCGCAACATCAAACAGAAGTAAGATAATATGAAATATTATTTGAGCAATTTGTTTTTTTACCTTAAAAAAGCAGTATTTTGGAAGACAATGTATCAAAATAAACTTTTTTCAGGTACGTTGCGGCTGCTACTACACAACACAAAATTCTCGACCTACGAGGCGTCGCGGCAGAAGTCAAAGTTACTTGTGGATATGCACAGGGGATGGCATATCCAGTCACATAACAGTATTCGGTCAATCGACAACAGCTTCAGCAACTTCCTTGAAACAAATTACCGCTTTCGACTTGGTAGAAACTAAAGTGGCCGCCATAGAATTTATAAAAGGTGTATCCTCTGACTCACTGTCATTAGCAAACGACCTCGTCTGGATGGGCACGGATTCTCGCAAGATCATCATCTACGCCGCTTCGGAACCCGAGAAGCAAGAACAACTCGGAAGCTACTCCGTATCCGGTCCAGTAATACAAATCAAACATCATTGCGATAACGTTTTCGTCGCTCTGGGAATTGGTCTGCTTCTTTTATTCAAGAGACAAGTAGACGGCACGTGGAACCTCAGAGACCCGTACGTGATATCTCTAGGTAGCGAGCCAGTGTCGTGCTTGATGCCAATTAATACGTCGGTATATGCCGCCTGTGGTAAGAAAGTTTGGGTACTTCACGGAGTGAACGGCGACATCACCAAAAGTTTCAGCGTACAGCACGAACACGTTGGTAGCGTAAAACTGATGGCTCATTCTGGAGTTGGTCTCTGGGTTGCTCTCAAGAACTCCAGCACCGTCTGTCTATATCACACGGAAACGTTCAAACACCTACAAGACATTAACATAGCGTCCAACGTACTGAGAGTAACGAGATCGAATAACGCTTCGAATTCATGCGGCGACAACTTAAATAACAATCAGACAGCCGTCACTGTGACAGCACTGTTGGCGTGTAAAGGCCTCCTTTGGGTCGGTACCAACGTAGGCATAAGTTTGACGATACCTCTGCCTAGATTGGAAGGCGTACCTATTATCAGTGGCCGTGTAAATATCTCTTACCACGCGCATTTTGGCCCCATCACGTTTCTACTCGCTATTCAGAATCCGAAGAACACGACGAGCTGCTCGACTTCCGAAGAAATCAACGACGAGGAGACTGTACAATTGAGGACGAAAGAGACGGAGAACAGAACTAGGGATCGTGCAAGCTTGGATTCTTCGATGTCGAATAGTATTATAAAATTGAAACAACAGTTAGCAGGCAGTCCAGTGATGTTGAGAAGGAAACGAAGCAAGGAATACGAATACAAAGGTTCCAAAACTCTTCCAAGAGGTCTTGGTTCTGGCGGAGGATTTCTGTCGAGCTCTATGTCAGGCTCGCAGAGTTCCGGAGAAAACTGCGACGTATACGGTTTATACGGCGAACTAATGTACGTAAAGGATTACGAGAACGAGAACAGCTCCGGTATCGACCCAATTTACGAGTCATTGAGAAGGAGCGATCCAGAACTGGCAGCCATACCAAATAAAGTTAGTACATTAGATCGCAGACTGAAGATGAAGATCACAAGACCCAGATCCTTGGATCTGTCGAATTGGTCCGTCGACTCTCATGCCAGTTCTCTGTACACGTCGTCCGGGTCAGAAGAAAACATTTCTCTGAAAACTGGCAAATTGTCTCGCAACAGTAGTACCGCTAGTCGAAATGGCCCGTACGAAACGACTACCCCTAATAGTAGTATAGTACAATCGGTACCGGAAGCGGTACCAGCGCCTAATAATCTGAAGCCAAATGGGAAAAAGATCAACAAAACGTTGCAGCAGGTGGAACAACCTAAACGAACTGTTCTGACATTAATGGGTGGTCGTGGTTACATCAATTGGAGACAACTGAACGCACAGTCCGTCGCAGACAAAAGTTCCAAATCGGGCTACACTTTCAAAGATCCCAACAGCAACGATGCTCACATCGTGCTTTGGGAAATGAAATTATGATACTCAGTTACGTTAGGTCTACCGTTACGCCTACTATCGTCAGTATGGATAGAAACGTTAAATGCTTTCAGGCCGATTACGATTATGAGCTCGTAGTATCGGTATATAGGACCAAAAAAAAGAACTGTTGTCGAACTGATATTCGTTTAAGTAATAAGGATATTTGTTAATTAATTCACGCGGTTTTAAGTTAATTACACAGGCGGGTGAACCGTAATGTGGAGACGAAGTTCACCGAGTCGAATGTCCTTTACTCTGTCGGCAGTGCAAAGATCTAGTTTTCACGTAGCTCTCTAAATAAGTAAGAATCTTTTGTATTTTATAACAACGCTTTGTAGTGTCGTTCTCAGGAGCGTATTCGATTACGTCCCTGTAATGACACGTTAAAGGTCTTAGGTTTCGTTGTTGATTAGACTCCGTTCTCGTGTACACTCGTATACATCGTTCAGTCATACCTCAGCCGTATTTTCTTTTTCCATTGTGCAAATTAACGAAGAATCTCTTGTGTATCCATGATTATAAATATTTACGAAAAAAGTTAATAAATGTATCGATTTTAAGAAATATGCGAGTGTATGCGTTATTAAAAAAAAGATGAAGTTTTGAAGCTATATTTTAATAAACATTGTTATTTCTTAGTAGTTACGTGCTACGAACTGCTTAAAACAGTGGTATTCTTGTAAATATGATCTGGAATTTTGTTCAGCGTAATCAAAATTATTTATGAATTCGTTTAAAATATTATGTTCGATAGCACAGAGTAAACGCAGTGAGTACCACTGATTTAAAGTCAAGTTTCCGAGTTTTCGTAATTCGGTGATAATCAGGTGATACACGCGCATGAATTTGTGAGATAGTATGAATATGAAACGTTATCTTTATACGCAGGACGTTTCGCATCGTTGGGAAAACGATCAAATTTTTAAGAGTTTCACGTTCTCATTTCGAATCTTGTTGATGAAAATTTAAAAAAATCTCTTTTGTACAGGAGTAAGATAAAGGCACAGAGTAGCGTCTGTGATTTATTCTTTTGATGTATTACTCATTGGCGTAACTTAATAAATAGGGTGAGATTTTCAACTTTAAAAGTAAAGTGAAATCTTGAAAGTATCGAATGGATTTGGCAAAAATAGGATACCACTCGGTTTTTATTAATATGTGATGGAAGGCTGTAATAGTGAGATGAAAGATGACAGTATCGATTTACTTCCAAAACTACCCAACCAAACGCATCCTATTTTTGCCAAGCCGAATCGAGGTGGGACTCCACGCGTATGCCAAAGGACCGAATCAAATTTCAGCAGACTTGGCTCAAGTCTAGAAAATCTGTTACGCCAGTGATACTAGCGCACAAAGAATCTCTGACAATATTAAGAATTGTTTTTTAATTTTTTTTCCCGCTGCAGAAAAAGGAATGAAACAGTTCGAACTCTTGCGCAAGTGAATTTATAAAACACGTTTAGTTTTACGATAAAATCGGTAGTACATTCGATTGTTTAATTTTGACATTTTTTTTTGGAAAATCTTATTACAGTTATACCGTGTATTGGTATATCCAGTATATTTAATAGCATTTTTTGAGGGTGCGTCAAATGTTTTATATTCTTTATAAAATGTTAGCACGTTAAAAATTTATGATATATATATTTTACTGCCAAATGCGATAGAGATTTCTGTCGAGAGGAAAAAGGATCGGCAAAAGAAAGACCACGCTATATTTCAGCGGAAACCATACTTGTGATAGGTAGACAGAAAAAAAGAATATTAGCAAGGGGGAAAATAAATTTATATCAGTTACCCAGTGAGAAAAGTATATCGTAGTTTTTTCGCAAATGTGCTGTTAAGTTGTTTTTTGCTATCGGCATGGACGAACGAAAGTCTGCGTGTACATATATATTTTCAGAGGAAATTAATTTTCTATTAAAATCCTGCATAGATTTATATTTTGTACACTACCTTTTTTTGTTTAGATTTATATAAATACATATACATAATGTAATCTTATTTTGTATTTATGCGAATGATACTATACGTGGAATTTGTTCAGCAATACTTGTGTTACGCACACGTACACGCACACATTTACGCAGCATACGCGCACGTGTATTTATTACTTAAAAGGTCCGTAGCGTTGTATCATTGTTAATATGGATTCGAAAATTTTGTTACGTTAGATTTCTTCGAAAAACCTCTTCGATTTAATCATTTTTACTATTTGTATTGCTATATTGCTGAATACTATGATTATTTAAAAAAGAGCAAACATGAGATTCTTCACCCCACCTCTTCTTTGTTCTTTATGTATAAGTTTCATTTATGATAGGTTGTAAAAAATTTTCTACGCATCGTTTTCAGATATATAGTTTATTCTTTGTACAATATTACGATATGTTTACATTTTATAATATGGCGCATAAATAATTCATTCGTATAGTTCTACCAATATTTTGAACATTTCTCGACAAGGAAAATGAATTTACATGTCTTTATTTTCACGTCAATATTTTTTGAGACACTACGATATGCATGGAGTAAGTACGATATGTGTACTATACAATATGAAACGTTTAACTATTCAATAAATTACGCTCTGCTACTTCGGTTTAAAATGCATAAGTTCGGTAGAATGAAATTTCTATGATGCATTCTCCTTCCTTTTATAATCTTTCAAGATTTTCGACGGATATCTTAGTACGATTTACAAATTAAAGAATTACAATAGTTTAAACAGTTGTCTGGAAAGGAAAGTATCTCTATCGTGCCATCCTTAAACTTGTAACTTTCGTATCGATATAATCTTGTAAAAAAGAATATGTTACAGAAGTTTAACTAAGCTTACAGTGTATTTCATTTATCAATGATTTTCTTCGCACGATAGAGAATTCATTTTTTATCGGAGATTTTATACACATAACGAACAACTAATATTTTTTACTCTGATATGGTGCTCTATTAATTCTACGTTATGTCTATGCTCATTTAATTACAATCATTCAATCGGTTTGCTTACGATAACAACGGTAAAATATTTAAGCAATAATCTATTATCTACATTGACATTCTACTACAGAAGTGTAGGCATATAACGAGTACTATTTTCTTTACATTTAAAATTATAGCTTAACTGGAAGATTGGAAACTATTCTGATACATGATTTCAAAATTTATAAATCATAACTTATCATTGAGTTATCAACGAGTAGAGTTAATATATTCTAGACATTTTTAGTGGCATCGTAGTACTTTCTGTTTCGCTTGAAAATAGTTAAGTAAAGCATAGCAGGAAAAATGTGCAATATACACGACGAGTACAAATCGTATTCAGTTTACGGTAACTTGAAATCTTTCATTTATGCGTACACATTTCTGTATAATATGTATATACTTTTTAATTAACGTATTAATGGTTCATTTGTTGCTTCTTTAAACATATTTAAATACTTGGTTACGCTTAGTCTTATGTGGTACTTCATTTCATTAAAAGTATATCAAAATTGAAAGGCGCAAATCGACAGTGTTTGGTAAAGAATCAAACACGCTAGAATCCTTAGCTTTAAAATACAAATCCTTTTGTCTCGTATAAAGCATAATCAATCTGCCACATTATACAAAAATGCATATATGGGCCTTTTGTCCTTTTTTTGACTTTACTTTAGAGTATCGCAGTAACTGCAAGTACATTAGTCTATTACATGTATTTATAAAATACCTATATATATATACATATACATACACGTATGTAATGCAGATAACATAATAGATAATACCTGCCCGAGCTGTCTCTATTCCATCGCACACTTAAATATTCTGTGCTGTGTTTAACATAAAATATAACTCGACTTATGGGGAAGTTAAACTTCTCCTTACAGGCAATGGGTAAAAATTATAAACGTTCACTCGATTAATGAGAAAGTAAATGGTTACCAATTAAGAATTACTATGAAATACATAATACTGTTAGAAACCGTATCAACATCCGACTACGTTTAATGAATTTTCAATATTATGTTAGCAACGTAATATTGAAAATATCAGCAGAAACATTACTAACGCATACATATGTCAGCTCTCACATTGCATACATGTCTTGTTTAATGTCCATAATTTAGTAAATTCATTCTCAATGTAATGACATTATAATTTTTTCCTTTGTACGAAATGAATTAATGCAAGATGTAAATTAACTTTTACACACAAACTAGGATTAACGTTGTTTTATAAAACTAAATCAAATATTATCTTTACAGTTTGGAAGAATTGCAAATTTTTTTCCTTTACTTTCTTTTGCGCATTTTTTATTAACATATTCATAACTTAATTGTACTCGAAAAATAAAACTTCAGAGGTAGCATTTGCATGTTTCATAGAATAATAAAAAACATTTATATTTTTAGGAAAAATAAAGGAAGACTTTTAAGATGACTTGCATAAATATAAAAATAATTTATACGATGTAATATAAACAATTGTTTTATCCAAATATTTTTAAATAATTTAAGAAATTCTTATTGATAATGATTAACAAATGTGCCCAAGCATGTGACCTTATTATAACTAATGTTTGCTTTCTTTTTGCAATACTCAAGATTAATTTCAGTTAATTTCTTATAATTCCATTTATATAACTTCTGTGCGTGTATGTAATCATAAGATATATCATTTACGAAAATTTTTGGCCAAGATTTATTGCAAAACACGTGGAAGCATAAGTAATAAATATTACTACTTTGTAACATTATACCAAGGATATTGGTAAATATCATAATAATATAAATCATATTAATTAAAGCATATATCACTTTTAATAATAATATGAAGACGTAAATGTAAGCAAATAATAAATTAGTGGCAATTAATTATAAATGCATATATATGTATATGTACATACCACACATAGAAAATATACTAAAACATAATAAATACTAATTAAATCAAAGCTGCAACTTTCACATAAAAATTAAATTAATAAACATAATTCATTACTTGACTAAAGAAGGGCAGTGTTCTTGTTCTATAATTATATTAATCACCTATATATTTTTTAGCTTGTTATTGCTGGAATCTTCGTCAGAATGTCCTCAAACAATAAAGTATCAAATTGCATTAAGTACCTGAATATAATTTTTTGTTCTTAAGTAGCAAAGATTATTTTTAAAACTAGCCAAACATGATGAACTGCTAATGCAGGCACAGTGAAAGTTATATTAATGTAAAGTTGCGAACATTAGTAAATCAACAGGTTTAAAAATGTCACTTGCTATATTGTACTGAATTAAGTAACTGTTACCTACTGATATTTAAAGAAACGCAGCATCAATGCTACCATTATAATAGTATAAAAAAAGTTAAACAATACAGTCGAAAAATAATGTAAATATACCGTGTAAAAAATATTTGTAATTATATAATGTACAGAAGAAACAATACTACCATAAACTAAAAATAACAATGGTCCCGAAATTGTTGCTATGAAAAAGTGAAAATTGGTAACCCATGAATAAATTTATCAAGTCTCAGTCAACTCACGATCCTCGTTTCGTCAAACATCCAATAATGGATTGATGTTTTAAACGTTCTATATCAAAGTGATAATTATGTCCAATATATGCTGGCATAACGAATACACTATGTATAAAAACCATTTGCTCTTATACTTGTGTACGTTTCTTCACATATGTATCAAATGGTGAGGACAGAAAAAGAAAAGTTAATCACCTAGAGAACAACGTCGGGCAGGGAGCAATGCCACTAGGCTAATTGCGTCCCACTTCGTCCACCGTGATGTCCCATTCCAATCATAGAACCTCCACCGCCAATATCGTCACGAACGATCTTCCGTTCTTTATAATAAATTTCTTCGCTTTCTTTATCGCATAACAACAACACAGCTCCGCCGAACAAAAATATAGCTGCTCCCCAACCAACTCCATATGCCCAACCAAATTCCCAAATTGTTCGATTTCCTATAACACATTATATCATGATAATTTTACTGTGACAATGATCTAGTTCTCACAGTGAAATTTTAAATAATCCATTTCAAGATATTATAGAATTGTATGTAATCTTACCAAGATTCAGTTCTGTAGCAAAACACACTGGATATACTACTAAGGCTATTAAGAGGCACACCACTGAAACATAAAAAGACTTTGAATATGTGTACAAATTAAAGTAAAGCAAAATATCTCTTACTTGATTTTAAGTACATATACATACGTGCAAAACCCATACAGAAGACTGCAAATCTATAATACCTATGCTTCTCACGATTGTCTTGAGATCTTAAACCAAGACCAGTGAGAACTGTTGCTGCAATATCTGTTAACAGACATACTACACACAAGGCAGCAGCTGCTTTCATGTAGGCTACAAAAACAAAAGTATAAGCAGCTGAGAAATCATGTTTTTAGGAACCTCACTAAAGTTGATTATTTTGCTCATACCAACGTCTCTAGCTTGGTAACATCCAGCTGTATCTGGTAAATTAAATGGCACTGGTGTAGGAGCGCCTTCTTCTATGCAATGCGCAAATAAGCCTTGTCTCCATCCTAATGCCATCAGCCAATCAGTGGACGCTAAGCCCATTATCATCAACAGTATCACTATTATTCCACATATAAATGCTATCACCTGTAATCAACAATAAAGTAAATATTTCTATGAGTATTATTAAAGAAATAAATCTGAAAAAAAAATTGATATTCATTGAAATAAAGTTATGATATAGAACAACATAACAAATACTTGTGCAAAACAATTGATCAGTATGCAAAACAAGATTGTTTTTGCTGCACAAGAAATATTTCGATTATACCTGTGCGATTTCAGTATCGCCCATGTGATCTTCAGCGACTGTATACATGATCATCGTAGATCCACGGTGCACTTTTAAAGATTAGTCCCAATGGATGAAACCAAGAATTTAATGTTCAATTAAATCCGTTTCGAATTCACTGTTTTTTTGGTCTCTGTGACAGGTACCACTTACGGAACATCGTATACCTTTTTACGAATCACTCTCGATAAAAAACAAAGCATTTAGAGATCGTTCAAAGACGTAAAACTTTCACGAATGACAAACACCTCCGAAGTAAACACGTTTCACGTTTCATGTACTTCTGCTACGTTCAGGAATTAATCCTTTTTATCGAGTTAAGTTGAGCATTGCGCGAATTACATTATTGCAGTTTTTACTTTCAACGTTTGGCAAAAATATCGAAAATGTTGGTCGTTTCGCGAGGTCAAACTGAGATTCTCTCCGTTCGAAGTTGGGGGAGTAATTGGGTTCCAGGGAAGCTGCGCCCATTAAAGGTCGTGGCGCAGTGCGCGTACATGGTAGAGGGTGCTTTTTAATATAGACGAAACTTGAGACGAGCGTGTTCCATTTACAGAAAATTTTCTTTATCATGATCGTACGAACAACTTAATTTTCTTGGCTTTCCATTGACATTTTTATAACATTATCACTTTCTTTTCTTTGAGAAAGTATTTAATACATATGTAACAGATGTTAGCAACCTTAAATTTAGTTATATTGACCTAATTTTGAATCAAATTTAATTTAAAATATTTCATCTATTTTTGTATTATAATTTTTTCTTCAGTTTAAATATTTTACTAATTTGGACAGTATAGAATACAATATTTTTTAATTTAGCTTTTAAAATATCATTATATACTAAAAAATATAAACTACTGCAATAAGGATGTTAATCTTTTGCATTCGACAGTCTTTTACAAGAGCATGTCAAAAATATGACAAACTGAATGTCCCTTTAACATGTAAAGGATTAAATTTTAATACTTATTGTTATATCATTATTGTTATATAAAATATATTAGAGTTAAATTCTAAAATACATTAAAGCTTACCTTTAATGGTCTAGTAATAGTGATGGTTTCGATGGTTGTTGTTTGTGGCATTGTTAATTGGCTGTAAGAAAAATAAAATAAATTCATAATAATAATGAAACAATAAATCATTAATATAACTAAATGAAAGTAACACACATAGAAAGAAAAGCAAAACAACAGGAGGAACATATCAGTAACCATGTTGAATTAAATAACATAATGGAAGATGAATAATGAGTTATATTAATATAACTATGGATCCTAATAATATTTATTATGTATAAATATTACATTTTAATATTCAATAGGTTTTCTCACTGTCCGATATCATTTATATACATGTACAACAAATACAATTATAATATTCTGCAATTTACATATTCTTCTGATAACTATTGTTCTTTTTCTTTTTAACAAATGGCATATTCCTCAATGATAGATAATAGATTATTCACAATGCACAAAGATGCACTATTACATGTCCCTTATACGTATTACTAGATTACCATTAATTAAAAGTAATATAATCAACGTCATCAATTGCACAAAATATCACTTACACGTCCCTCTATTAGATAGAAAAACATTTTTCATTTTAATAGTTACTTTGAACAAAATAATTCACTTACAATAATGAGTATATTCACTTTAGGCCTTATCAATTGCTATGACACACATGAAGTCCTAAATGGTGGAATTCGATTTGAAAATCCAATAGCTGAAAAAAGTCATACAAAAAATGTACGTAAATATAAGACTAATTTCGGAATTGATAAACAACAACACAGTCTAATTTCAAGGGTTATGTCAGTAGAAATGTCAACAACAGGTTTCAGTCTTTCACTCCATACTCCAACCTTCGTATGCCGCTGACACACATATAATGAGAAAATGTATATTGTATCAGTGAGTAATCACTCCAAAGATTTGTAGAAGGAAAACGCTGTTATTGGCTCTTGTGATGAGATTTCTAACCTGAACGGTGATTGGTATTTCATGTATTTTCCAAAACGACGAATAAAATTCAGTGTTCACTGCATTCTTGGACTGTTGTATCTAATGAAACAAGTGATTCCAAGGGAACAATCTTACAGCTGCCAATGGGAGAACGATATTCTACATTTTACAAAGGAGAATAGATACGCGAACGCACACATATTCTTATACATTTCATATGGATGTCAACAATATTTTATACAAATTGTTCACGTGCACAAAACGAATCTGTAATATTTTTCACTATTTAAATATACATACAAAATTCGTAAAATAAAAAATGTAATACTCTTTCGCACGGGACGTTTGCAACTCGAAGGTGTTTATGACTAATACTTTACACGATTTACTTTTATTCGTGCATTAACAGATAAACGAAGAAACACAAGATATTATGTGTACAAAAAGTAACAATAATTAATTCATATGAAGTGGTAAATTTCTTTTATTATACCATAAAACATGTATTTATAATTTTATGTAAAATAATTATTTAAAAAGAATAATCTACTGTACAAGTTATTGCATAAGGGAGCTAATATACAAAATGTAAAAAAACATTAATTGTTGTCCAGTTGCGAAAGATATTTCAAGCTCATTAGTAACAACAAATACAGTATTAAGAATATGAAACATGTGGACATGTTTCTAAATATGATGATGACGTCACTGAATGACGTCAGTATAACACACACACTAAGGGATCACATAAACGTACTATACATATGAAAATATTCATTCAGATGATTCACTTTATCCGGTTTTTTGATAATTCGTTCATATTGTTTCAGAAAAAAATTAAACAAAAAATTTAATCAAAAAATTATGTTTTCATTAGTAACTTCTCTGTTCATAATTTATCTCGAATTTTGCATGTGTAAAACAGAAACTTTTATTATAATTTTGTACGAGAATTGTATAACATTTTCAAAAAAAGGAATGTACAAATATTTATAAAGAATGATTGCACAAGATAAGGAAAAACATTTTCGTTTGTTGAACAAACGAAGACAAATAAGTAGAAACGATCTCTACTAAATATACGTACATTCTTTATTTATAAACGAAAATAAATAATCTACAATATATTACGTAAATGATTAATTACTATTTTAAGTTCACTAAATCAAAGCACGTTCGTATCCGTCTTATCTCGTGTGTGACTGTTGATAATTAATTAACTCGAAATGAACAATTATTTGCTATAAAATTTATCGATATTTAATGCTAGCTGTTACAAGATATTAAATATAATGATAAATTGATATGAATGTAATGATTGATATCAGTTACAGTTTGGTCGAGTTATATCAGTGAAAATTTTAGCAAAACGTGACCAGTACCAATGATAATCGTACTCGGACTTGCGTTTTTTTGCACTTACGTTGTTTCTATTGGCAACGCGATTAATATCAAATGATATTACATAAAATTATTTTAATTATTAAAATATCGGTACGATACACGTGTGTATAAGTACTTATGTATGCAAACCGTCAAGTACAGTAGACTTCCGTTAGTGCAAATGGCAAAACATATAGGAGAATTATAACTCCTTATCAATCGATGATTTTTTGTTTTAATACTTTGAAATTTAGAACTTTACTTGCAAATTTAAGAATTAGTAAATTTCAAAATTTTTGAATTTGGGAAGTTAAGAATTTAGGAAATTTGAAAATGTGGTCATTTGAGCATTTGAGGATTTAAGAATTTGAGAATTTGGAAATTTGAAAACGTCGAAGTATATATGTATATATGATTTTCAAAAATCGGAAGCATGTGGTGGGAGGTTGCTTCCCCTACACTGGTCCTTAACCAAAGAAAGACTAGATTGTAACCGATTGTCAGTTCCCGTTTACCCCGACTTATGTCTTTTTCGACTTACGTCAGCTATTTTGGAAGCAATTAGTACGTAAGTGGTAAGTGCAGGGTATGAGTGTACACGAGAGCATCAGTCCCATCACTATCCGATTCACGATCAGCTTACGAGGGGGTGGAGGAAAACCGTCGGCCATTTTGATCGTGACGCGCAGCGCGGAGGTCGTGGGCTCCACCAGTGACGAAGCCACTGGAGTTTTGACGTGGCTGCTACGTACCTGCCCGTTTGCCCACTCCGATTGCAGCAAAGTTGGTGACGAGAAATACGTAACTGGTAAGTACCCAGCTGGAGAATAATAACAACCGGGCATGGACCACTGCACTTACGGTACACCTAAAATGCTGCCGAAACTACTAGCATTTTATTTCATGATCCCAATATAGTCAGTTTTACATCTACTATGGAATATGCCGTAAAATATGGCGCCTTAAAGAAGATGTACAAATTTCTCGAAAAGAGCAATGGGGGTTACGTGATGATTCTGACAACTCTTTTCGCCGCTAATTGAAGCATCGTGATTTCGATCGGTACAATCTTAGTCACGTTTCATCATGTTTTTTTATCATTTCTGGATCTTCGATTACCTACGAAAGCATCTTAAGTGTTTATTGTTCTCTCGTATTATTTTTAGATCTGCTTATGTAAATGACGCAGTAATACCGTCGATCGCTGACTGGCGGGAAATTTAAAAATTTTGCACTTTAATGGATAATCCCGATTTCAAGTCGATACCTTTTCGATATCGTTGGTCCCACTTTCTCTGACGATGTTAATCTTTAGTCTGGAAGTCAATTCATGATATTTCAAGTATGCATATATTTGACTTTTTAAATGACAAATTGTTTCTATACTTGTGTTACACAGCTTTCGTTTCTTTGAATACTTAGTACTGTCAACATAATTCAACTCCATACCTATTATGCAGAATATTTATTTGCATATTAATCAATGTCATTATTATATTAGTTATTCTATTAAATTCTCTCATTTGTTATGAATATGACTCCGAAAGGACATGTAATGATTAATATGTAGAAATATATGTGTCAGTATTAAAAATAAACAACAAATTAAAATAAAGTAGAATTTATAGAATTTGATAACAAATTACATACAAAATTAATGAAATATATCCCTTTTTTTTATAGGGTTTGTGGTCCCCAGGCTATGGAAAGTATGGTTGAGGAAAATGGATCAGCTGTTGACCCATTATCTACGGGTTCTCAAGGTGGTGACGCAGCACCAGCAATAGCTACATCGGTACAATCTCTCAATAGAACACATCAGCAGCAAACTCATCATCTGGTAGCCTCTACCAGCATTGTGCAACTGACACTTCCTACGTCAGCGGCAACACAGGTATACAGGAGAATCTCCTGTGTATCTATGTCTGATCATTTATTCATTTGTTTTATTTCAAAGCATGCATACATTATTTTTTTTGTGGTTTAATTATTGTCAGTTAATTTAATGAGCACTGTGTATATATTCGATCTTGCATAATGCTGGTTCAAATGAAGAGACTGAAATTATAATTAAGTATCCTTAATTAACTAATTAAAATTTACTTGTTCATTCTTTAGTAATAAATATTTTGCATTTATTTCATAGTGACTCATATATGCATGTTTATAATTGTTATAAAAGTTATTACCTGTAGTTAATATTAAAACCTTTTATAGTTATATCCATTATTGATATTTATTTTTTATTGTATGTAATATCATATAATAATTAGTATCTTTTCTGTTCATTCAGGTACAATCTGTTATACAACCAAATCAACAGTCAGTAATTCAAACTGCAACAAATATTCAACCTGTTGCTATTTCAAAGGGAAATGTCATTCTTGTTAGTAAACCCAATTCTGTCATTCAAACAGCTCAGGCTAGCTTACAGACTCTTCAGGTAACATTTGTTTTATGTGTTTATGTTAAATAATAAATAAATGTTTAAATTTTATATTGTATTATTACAACAGGTGGTTGAAACTGGAAGCGATGATAGTTTCTCAGATTCAGAAGAATCACCTGAACAGAGAGGGGGTATCCTTACCAGACGGCCATCTTATAAGAAAATTCTCAATGATCTAGGTGGTGGTGAAATTACAGGTATAGTAAATATTTTGTTAATAATTTTGGGAAAAGATACATATATGATACATCTAGAAAATATTAATTAATAGATTTGTCATGAAATTTGTTTCTATAATCTTATATAATATTTTTGGTGCTTATATAAAATTGTATTTATTTTGTTTTACTATAATGTATTTCTAAAAGTATACTGATTGTTAGATAATAATAAAGTGCATGTCAGTTCATACAATTATTGTTATATACATATTATAAGTATTTTTTTTCGAAATTATTAAACCTGAACATTGTTTCTCAACAAATTCAATTGCATTAGTATTATGAGAGTATGAATGTGACATTTTAGCTTTTTAATATTTTATCTCATGTACCTGTATAAAAAGAGAAGGAATGCCATACCAAGCTTAGATTGTAAGTTATGATAAACTGAACAACAGTGAATTCTCCTCTAACTGTTATCTATGTACACATATGTTTGTTTAGTACTAATAAAGTGAATTATGCAATTGCTATATAATCAAGTAAAATATGATATAAAATGAAATGTTTTTAGGTTTTTATCTTTTCTAGGTTTATTTTAAAATGAATAAGTGTAATGAAGATAAAAAATATTGAAAATTTATAAAAAATGGTATAAAGAAATAATAATAATATTTAAATGGTATCGCTTAACTTTTATTACAATTACATTTCTCTGTTAATTATTAGAAATTTATTTACATTATTTACACTTTTCATGATTGCACATAAATATTAGTCTGTTTTAACTTTCATTTTGATCTATTTCCTTTTTGTATGAGCTGACTGCACAGTATTATTATAAATATATGTAAACAGCAGCCAGAAAGGAAATAGCATATAATGGTATAATTTTATTTTGACCATTATTTTCTCTAGTTATCAACTGATCACTTTACTTTCTGGATGCAAGTTTTTTTTAAAAGCAAACACTTTTACACTATAATGCAATCAGGAAAGTTATTCCAGAAGAAATGTTAACTGCAAATGTTAAATAAATTAGGTATCATCGTTTTTAGTTGATAAATAAATACTATAAAAAATTCAGTTATAGTAATATTTGGTATAGATTGTACATTTAGACTAAACAGATAAACACCGATAGCAACTCTATTATAATAGGGGTTGTATTAATTCGGTGTTACAGACGGTCGATTGCCCCCCCTAGAATCATCTTCTGAGTGTGATTCTAACGTGGACAGTGAAGTGTCTTCCCACTCGCTTCATTATCAGACAGGTTGGTTATTTTTTCTTCTACATATCTTTCCTGGCTGTCCTTTATTCGGTTCTTTACACATATCCCAGCCTTTGTTTTTTAATTTAAAAAACAATGTTAGAGGAGTATATTAGAGCTGTTAGATTAAAGCACTTAAAATTGAATTCCTTTTATCTTTGTGTATATTGCTAATGTGATATTTTGTATCATGTTTGCTTGGTGTGGCATCTTTGCTTATGGGGTTCTTGATTTTATTTGCAAATAGGTATATGTGTACATTGTATATTTAGACAATACATATGTAATGGTTGCAAACACTGAAAAAGTAATTATACGTCCATTCATTTCTTCTGCATTGTTTAACTTTTTCATAGTGAAATATTATATAATTATTTCAAATAAAAATAATGCACATAATGAACATGTATAGTTGCAGTATTATTTTTAATTCTGTTTTTTTACTACACAAAAGATGTATTTTTTGGAAACTGCTGAGCTAAGTAATATTAAATAAGATATATATATTTTTGCAGTAATCCCTGCTGGTACCATTCAAATTGCAACCCAAGGAGAAGGAGTTCCTGGGCTTCATACGCTAACTATGAGTAATCCAGCAACAGCAGGAGGAGCTATAGTACAATATGCACAAGGCCAAGATACACAGTTTTTTGTCCCAGGTGCGTCCTTTTTCACACTTTCTCATTGCAGTTTTGTTAGTTTAAATTCTTAAAAACTTTTATTACGAACATACTATGCATGATTTAATTTGCTGTTTTTGTTCTATAATATTTACAATCTGCTTTTTAAATTGTAAGCAGTTCAAATACTTAATAACAAATTTTAAATATAAAAACATACATTTTTAACTATTTTTAGTGATAGTAATATAAATCTATATTTGATAAATAGTTATACATAGTTTTAAGTTATACTGATTAATTGTGAGCAACAAAAGTAAAAATTTGGGGAATACAGTTTCTGGCAATGTTCCAGCTTATACAGGACATGGTGTTGTAGTAGAAGATGCAGCTAGAAAAAGAGAGTTAAGGTTGCTTAAAAACAGGTAACAGCAATAAAAATTGAGAATATTCTGATTTTGATTATAAAATTACTCATATGTAAATACATTTTTTTCGCAGAGAAGCAGCGCGTGAGTGTAGAAGAAAAAAGAAAGAATATATAAAGTGTTTAGAAAACAGAGTCGCGATATTGGAAAACAGAAATCAGACGTTAATAGAAGAATTAAAGTCGTTAAAACAACTATGCGAACCGAAAACTGACTGAGGTTGGTGTTTAATATTGAGACATTGTATGAAAACTATTAACCAGCTAAAAAACCTGTACATGTCTTCTTTGTGTACATTATCCTAAACGTTGTTAGGTAAGCAATGGTGATGTACATGCATTCTTATAAATAAGTGTTTCTGTAACATACTGTATTTAAGTGCGAATACGAAGGCTTGTGAAACTTGCTATTACTAAAAAGCGAGAAGCCAAAGGTATATGAAATACGACGGTAGCGAACTTATAGGCAATATTCAGGAAGTCAATCTATATTTTGGATAAACTTAACACTCGTACGAAGACAGGTTATTAATGTATGCATATTCAAAATATGTGTTGATAACGAAACGATAACATCAGTGTTTAAAACATATTCATTTAGGTTACAGTGACTATGTGATGTTAAATAGTACTTTGGTACTGTTTTACCTGAACATGAACATTGTATTCGTGTAGTTTCGCCTCTACTTTAGAAAACTTTACAATAGCTGAAGCTCGAAAAGATTACACAAAAACAACAAAGAATATCTTTAGTAGTCAATTTATAATACATAATTGGTCACTAATACACCTGCATCAGAGAAACGCCTTATACACTACATTTGCTAATGTAATTTAGAAATTATTGTAGATACAATTACTGCAGTTTAAAGACACCTAATTTCTGCGTGAAAGAAAGTATATTTAGACAGCAGTGTCTCTAATTTATTTTTCAATTGCTTTGTTGTTTCGTATTAAAAATTAGAGAAAATTTCTAAAATTCTACTACCTGAACAAAGAAATTGAAACATTGTAAATAGATAGTAGGTGGAAATTTTGCTGATTTAATCATTGCTTCTGTAACATGTACATGTATAAAGTGTCACTTCAATATAATTTTTTACTTTACATACAAATTTCAGATTTGTATTATGAGGAGAAATATAATTTATATTGTAGAAAAGTGTGCGATAGGAAAGCATTAGTTAAAACGCTATCATCTGATCTTAATTTCTATTTTAAAATGCCTCAAGTGCAAAAACTGAATAACAGAGTTTGTAAAATATGAATGTAATATATATCTGGAGTGCCTTGAAGATTTCTGTATACTTACAGTATACAAATGACACGCGCAAATGCGCAAATACACACACAATGTACGTATAAAATTATGTTGTAGGAAAAAATGGGTATATATAATATTTTTAAAACTATGTATTATGTTATAGTTTTATGTCCTACATAAAAATTATAATATTATGTTAATATTTAAATTTTTATTCTGATACATTTTCATATTTTCTAAAATTAAATAAAGTCTTTGAATTATTATTGTTAGTTACATATTGTACTATAAATTACATGCAGATATATAGCTAAATGAATTTCACACTGAAATAACAAAAATCTTATTACAATCAAGTATTTTACAAGGGATTATTCTCTAATGCATTTTTCTTGTAGAATTGATATTCTGTGTATCTAAATATGGAAATTACTGAATGTATGATTTTAATTGTTAGGCGTTTATTTTTAAAAAGTATACAATTTTGTGTATCAGAAATCCAGTTTGATCATTCGGTAATTTGATATTATCTAGTTCAACAATGAACTGTTTATAATTTTAGAAGAAATGTAATTTTTTTATTATAAATATTATGTTAAGCGTTAATCAATAACTTATATAAAAAATATAATGATGTTGAATTGCATTCTTTTTGTGTACATTTCTTTTATATTTGTATAATAATATATTTTTGTACAGAATATGAAATGAATGCCCTAAGAACTGATCAAACTGGAAAAATTTATTACATGAATGGATTATGTAATTTTTAAACTTAGTTTTCTTTACATTGTTTCCTTTTTAGCCGTGAAAGGCAGGAGCAATTATCCATTTTGGCTAGTTTATCACATTCTTTTGACATGTAATTTGTAAATATACAATTTTTATTGAATCCAATTCTTTATTAACTAAAAGTACAATATACTTATAGTGATGTGTTATGAAATAAAAACAGTTCACTATAAGTTCCATTTTTCTTACAAAATAAAAGTTTATTTAGATTAACTGATATTCTGCACATTTTCATCTCTGTTCCAATGTTAATTAGATGTATAATATATGTATATCTTGATTGCTGCACCGATAATATTATGAAATATTGTATATAGATAATATATGTATTTTTACACATCATCTGTGTTAACAAAATAGTTTATAAACCCCTTTCAGGATAATATCATTTTTAATAGAATACAGAATATAAGGATGGGTAAATAGATTTAAATAAGTTAACTAAATTTTTAAAAAATCTTTATTATAAACAATTATTTACAGAGTTTTTGTGGTAACATATACAATTATATTCTTTATTGAAACATCAGTACACAGCAGCTGCTTACAATCACAGTGGTTTGGTCACCTACAAAGTAAATATATTTAGAAATATATGCATCATAGGAGTAACAGTAATTTTTAAATAAGTTAAACAATTCAGTTGGTAGTGCATGTTAAAATAATCATTAATTCATAATTAACGGTTGAAGTATCATCATGTTAAGTTTTTAATACAATAAAAAGAAAAGGAATAATACTAACCATACAAATATACACTGCAACCCAAAAATCTGAAATCAACCAATAAAATTAAATTTAACATTGTGTGATTATTTTAATTATTTTTTATTTTAACTAAAATTACTCAGTTGGTAGTGCATGTGTTAAACAATCATTGTATCATGAATAAACGGTTTACAATTTCATCATATTTTATATTTTTTAAAGATTTGTAAATATAAACAATAACGCAACATAAATAATAGAGAAAATCAATGATCAATTAGTAATATTAAAATGATCATCATGAAAACGAAAAATAATTTAAGCTGTTGTAGCGATAATAAGTTATAAATTATTAAAAATATATAGATTATAAATCATAGTAAATAAGAAAAATATACGAATTATAAATTAATTGTATACTGATTGCATTTATTTATTAAAGATGCTTTTAGATTAAAAAATTTTGAAGACAAAACGAAATACACGTGGTTATCACGGCGTTACAATCTTATCTTTTTAGATAAAAAAGATATATTTTAGATATATTTGGTAGCACAAGCTAGAAATATAATAAAATATTTATAAATTAAACTTACTTAATGGAAAATTTTGTTTATTTCGCCATTCCTATTTTTAACAAATAATTTCTCACAATCAGCTCGACTAACCTGGATATACTAACATGAAAAACGTTGGATGCTTGTAATATAACTTAGTGCTACATAGAGATGCGATCTTTGGGTAGGTTTCAATGTTCTCGACAAAACTGTTCGCGCATCTCAGCTAAGTTCAGGAAGCACCTTCTACCATTTCCAAATGATATACAAGGTGATCAAAAATATATGAATAATAGGAAGAAATAATGATGTAGAAAAGTATACTAAATAACAGATCACTAGATATATACACTTGACATTACAATTAAAGTGCATACATGATATCTCTGGTTAGAGATATGTTAACCAATTGAAGCAAATCTGCGCAAGATGAATAATAGCGTTATTTGATACCACAGTTCTTCTGTAAAATAAAAATCCTTTTATAATTTCTGAAAACATGCAGATATAAGTAATATAGATAATTATAACCTGTATATTTACATTTATTTTATTTATTTTAATGTGTCAATTTTATCCAATCAAACATCAACACGAATTTGTTATGTGTTATCTATCTATGTATTATGTATTTCATTTTAGTAGTTACAAGTTACAAGTGTCAGTATTTCGAGGGAGGACTGAGTGTCGTATAGGATAGACATGGAGGTAATTGAAAGGTGTTATAGTGCGATCTGAATAAAATTTAAGATTTTTTGACTGTCATTTAATTAATATAAAAGTGACTATTGCAGAAATCAACAGATTTAAATTCGACATAATTAAATCGTACATGATAACATGATAAAGCAATGTTACTAATGCTTTACGATATCGCAGTTGTTCATCGTGAACCATTTAATACACCACTTCGTATTAATCTGTTATCAATTTTATAAATATACTAATGAAATATAACGATGTTTTGTGTGAATCACTTGTGAATAGTTAACCATTTTCAAGATTGGTGTAATGGTTGTCAAAGCGTTAGACGGTTTATTTTTGATACCGAAATTTCTCACCAACAAGATCCTGATTTATTGACACAGGTGAAAAAGAAGTAAAAATGACGGAAAGTTTGATAAATGAATGGCTGACAGATTGTGCAGATGTCTCGTCATCGGAACTTCATACTTTTGCTACTACTCTGTCACAGGACAATGAAATAGTCAGAGCACTTTATGTTCTTTTAGAAGAACGTAGTAAATATAGTCAGGTAATAGATTTGTAATAAATAATATTTATATTATAATTAAAAAATGTTAACATGTATTTTAAAAATCTAGATAAAATAAGTTTGATTTCTTATAACCTTATTTTTCATTTTCAAGATGAACCTTATTTGAGTGTACAAGTAACATATGATTTATTACAGTTAGTGGATACCGTATGTGATCAGTTATACAATTTCTATCGTTCTCGGGAAACAGAATTACAAAGGTTTACCTTGCAGTTCTTGCCCACTTTAATATATATCTATTTGAATTCTGCAGCTCATGGTGATATCAAGGTAACAGCATATAATTAAAGAAAATATGATGAAGTATTAGCCTCATTAGTATGTTATGTTTGATAAACTTATGACAAACTATACTTATAAGGATAGCAAATGTATACTACTGATATTATATAACATAAGAGTATTAATTCAACACTGGAAGCAAAAACAGTTAATGTATTCTTGTTTATAAAAAACTCATTACTCTTTCTTAAGTTGAAAAATCATGTATATATTATTTATAAAATTTGATTTTGCATCTAATTTGTTATTTGTCATCTTTTACAGAACTGTAGATCTGTAGAAACATTATTAATTGGGTTGTATAATCTGGAAATAATGGATAAATCTGGACAGTCAAAAGCAATTTCTTTTAGATTGCCATCACTTGCCATGCTTTCTGTATATCATGAGGTACATGTATTTTATTATACATAGATAGTTATACTTTAGCTATAGTATTAATGTTTAATTCATTACACTAGCATAATTATCTCTTTTATGTAGCCTGCAAGTTTAGCACCTGCTTCTTTAACGGAGAGTGCAGTGCGTAGATTTGAAGAATGCAATACAAAACTTGTTAGTTGGGGCCCACTGCAACAAGTTGAAACACTAACTGCTCAGAATAGACTAAAGGTTATGACTGCTCTTCTTTTTATTTACAATCAACAGCTGGGCTACATAAGTAAATTTGCCTTGGAACAGTTATGCAAAGTTGCTACAAAGTAAGCTGAATTAAATTCATGTATTTGATGAAGGAACAGTAATTATTTTAAAACTTTATTACAGACTTGTTACTCAAGGATTTATGAAACCAGGGCACCACCAACGTTCTTCATACGGAAGTGAATCTAGTTTTGTCCCAAGACTTCTACCTCGTATACCTGTATCCAGTCAATTTCTTCTTGAATTTTTGCATGCTGTATATTTTGCTATGTATGTATCATGATCCTTTTGTGGTAGTAATTATTTTTTTTAATTAAAGCCACTTTTATATTGCATAATGTACATATATCAACAGGTATAATGATTGCTGGTACATAGGAACTCAAGCAGTAGAAGACATTCATAATCGGGCATGCTATGAGACATATCCAGATGTTATGCTAGTCACAAATGCCATACGCAATTCTGCTAGCAGTGGTCCATCTGGTGTGTGAAATATTGATCAATATTTTAAATTAATTATTGGCTAAAAGTATTAAATACTATTAAAAAATTCGATCGTTTTAGGTCAACCTACCGATGGACCAATCGGTATTAGTGTGGCATTATCACCAGCAACCGCCACCGCCACGGTGTCTAAATCCATGATTACGAACGCTTCTTTCCGGGCTAAAAAATTGCCAGGTATATTTTTACAAATTAACATTTCTATTTTACTTATAAATATCATCGAAATGCAGCTTAATACACTAACTTGCTCGACTGTTTTGTTAAGGTTTATATTTTTACTATTATATTCATGAAGGAAAGATTATTTTTCATGTTTGATTATATTATTCATATCCAACCAGAATGTTATGAAGCATTGTATAATAATCATCAATTAGCATATCCTAAATATGTACAAGTAATGATAAATTTCCTTTAAGAAACTTGGTTTCAGTGCCAATTAAGGATACATATAAAATGTGTATACTGTTAATATTTGTTTTTAAATTATTATATATATTACATATTACTTTGTTTTGCTACAATTTTTTTTTGTATAAAATATCTTGAATATGTCTTGGATTACATATTTAAATATTTAAACAATAAAAAATATACTTCATAAATTAGTGGATTAAAGCAAACATGCATTGGTTGCAAACATGTGTCGTTAGACGATCTGGATGAGACGTTATTTGAGGCTGAAGCGAACGGTACTAATCTTGAAAAACAACAGCAAGTAGCAGTATCCAACACTTCGAAGCGGTTCCCTTGGTATTGGAAGCATTCACTTCCGATTTCAAACGCAGAAGAAGCCCAAATAAGAAAAATGAGTTCTTCTTCCTCATTGGAGAGTTGCAGACGAGGGAGCGTGTGTAGTATTCAAAATTCACCTCTCAAATCCTCCCCTAAAAGAAACAGAGAGCATTTGAAGAAAAGTACATCTGAAAAAGATGAAGATCATAATTTGAAAACAACTCCGAAAGCAAAAAAACATCATAAAGAAAATTCGGATATTGTTCATGAGAATAAAGTCGGATCTGCTTCGCATCTATATAGCGTATTGGAAGAACAGTTTCTAGGGGAGATAGTTCATGAATCGGTGGAAAATTTATATTCGGAAGGAAATAAATCCGATGGTTTTCATACGTCTGCTACTCTGTCAACAAATACATGGTACTAATGATTCAGTTTCAGCACTTTAGGATCACTAAATATTATTAAAATTTCTTTGGCAAACACGCGGCAAATTAGTTGTTACACTATGTAACATTGAATATTTTAATTGTTAGTAATTTATGCATTTATTGATGAATTCATTTCAGAGGTACCATCATTCTTACAAGAAACAAAACACAAGCCTAAATTTTGTATATTCAAGTGCATATGATGGGAAACTGCATGCAATTTTGATGCATTTCTTTTTACCGAAGATATCACGTTTGTTATAATGCAGGTTCATCCTAATCCTTTCACACTTCCTCTTCTACTACTATTAACTTCAATTATCATTATTTTTTCTCTATAAAATATAAATTATATTGCTTTATATTTCAGTCAAAAAACATTTGTTCTGTTTATTAATTACATATAAAATTGTGTTGTCCTCAAATTACACCATGAATGTTGATATTTGTATTTTGTATTTTCTGCTTTACACAAAATGCTTAAATCCTTGTATTTTTTTTATTCTCACGATCTTCTGATACATGTTTCAATTTACTTTTATCGATAAGTATTATTAATAATAATGTATTTCTATTTATTTTTCCCTTTGTTCAGATGATATTCCAATTCAAGAAACAAAGGAGGATTCTGGAGGAGAGGGTAAAAGTAATCTTGTTTCCATCACTGAAGAAGAATCCGCAGAACCGAAAGTAGAGTTGGTTCAATAAGACAATCGAAGGTTCAAAAGACTGCATCAAAGATTATAAATTCTTTCGTGCGTGAAAAAAAGCGTCGAGAAAGGGACGATAAAATAATTATGAATGTTCATGTTGATCCACCTGATAAGGATCTCAGACAACATTAAAGGAAAGTATTAAAGATTCAATGTTAAATAGCGATTCAACAGAAATTAATGGAAATGTTAACGAATGTTTAATCAAAAAGAAAAAAAAGAATAATCCAGGAAAATCGTTCAATTTAGCAGTGTACACTAACATTTCTTTAATTGATGGCGAAACGTCTTGCATTAGGTGAAGATGTAGATAACACTGATATGGAAGCTCCTATTACCTTAAGTACACGTAATGAAACAGACTGATTGACTTCGTCTATTCAGGTCAGTTCTGTTTAAGTTACTAAGAACAAATTTGTAGAGCAAACAAAACTATTAGTAGTGGGCTACACTGAACAAGTAATCTGGAAAAACTAATTATTTTCATTTAGCTTTAATTTACAGTTGTATATACCTGTTTCTTCTTTTATTACTGAGATATCAATTCCAATGAGAATTAAAAGAGAAAATTGAAAGGATTTTATACTCACAGTCGCTGTAAAAGTAGTCCATTACTATACTGATCTCCATAATTAGTTCAAAGATTCTAAAAGATATAATGGGGAAGGGAACAATAAACTAATAATGTATATTTTCTTTTTATAGAAATACACTAATGTAGATTGAAAATTTAAGTTAACTATCTTTATAATATGCTTTCAATGTATCAGTCAGTTTTATATTTTTTAAATATTTTTATTTATAATTATTCTATGATTTTAAATATTAAAAAATTTTGCTCTTTACATAAAATAAATTATTGACTAATTCAACGTTTTAACATCTGATTCGAAATAGATATATTTTCAAATTGAAAACATGTACTTATATACATTTTTCTGAACTAATTCATTATTAAATTGAACGATATTATTTTTCATATTTAAAGTATCCGATTGTATCATATTTGCATTTATTTTTCGGCAAAGTGTAAAATAAACTTTTTGACATTAAATAGTCGAAACTATTTCATAGTTTCACAAAAAGTCTAATTTACTATATATTTAAATTTTAGGCATTTTATAAACAAAATGCAATATGACTGATTTGTCTTTGAAGACAATGTAAAAATAAACTTAAAGAAAAACTTATAACTTTCCTAATAATTACATTTTCTATGATGTACTTTCATGCTTCTATGCATAAAATCATATTGGTAAATTATGTTTAGAGAAAATGTTTTTGTATACATTTTAAAATAAGAAAATTTTAGATCATACCATAATCCGCATTATAACAATTTTAAAATAATTTATGTGTAGTCATGTTTTTCTGTACTTTTAATATTAACAAACTCAAGGTTTTTGGAGTAGCAACTTTTTATTTTTGTTTAAACTTATGTGTCATTACTGTGAAGATTTATTTAAATATAAAACAAGAATTCATAGAATAGCACTGTACATATTATTTACAATCAAAAAGAGTTGCAATGTAAAATATTTCCTTGCAATTGATACAGTATTTTTGTGTTTGTAAATATACACTGTGATAGAAACTGTATTTTTTAAGTAGAATTTCATTTAAAAACATTCATCAGTTACTTTATTGAAAATAATAATGTGTCGTAAAAGATCTATGAATATAAAATAATACAGATGATATCAAATGATGATAATTCTGAACAAGTTTTTGAAACAATTTTTAAATTGAATTATGTTTAAGAAATTGAAACTGGGAATTGGTATCTACTTGAATAAGACTGCACGTTGCATTACATTATTGCTTAGTCTAACTAAGAGATATACCCTTATGATTTCTTTAACCAATCATAGTGTTCAATAAAACATCATACGCATATTAATATTTGATGAACGAATATTATATAATGCATTCGCATAAATGTGTGTTTAAAGCAATCATTTAACTCTTATAAAAATTCTAAGGATTTTAAATGACATAAATCTACTCTATCAATGAATCAATTAAGATGAACTGGAAGTATCTTCGTTAAAACAGTGAAATAAAATGTGCATTTCTAATATTAAAACTTCATTAAATTATGCTTTAGAAATTAGTAATTCTGTAAATAATGTGTAAAATTCTACATTTTTTACATTTCAGTCGTGCATTTAAATTGTTCCCTGTTCCTACGTATTATTAGTTATTAAAAAAGAAGCATATTTCAAATATTGACACTTAAAAAAACGATGAACTTGAAATACTGAGCCTTTTTTATTATTTAAAATTCTTAAATAACATTATTATTAATCCACAAGCATACGGAAACAAAAATTAGAATTACATATAGATTTATTTTAGAAAAAATCAATTTAATTTCCTGTATCACTGCCATATAGTGTAATTTACTAAAAATAAATTACATCGATAACTTAAGTTTACACATTTGATTGAGTATGTATTATATTATATTTAAAATGTATACGCATAGGCGTGAAAAATATGTTTTTAAAGTTGAACGAAATAATGCAAGTTATAAGTATTAAATAATTACACAAGGAGAAAATTTAAATGGTACTATAAAACGAATAAGTTAAAAGTTTGTTAAATTTGTTGGACTATTTGTATAAAAGGTATAAAAACGGGAATTGGTAAATACATAAGAATTGTAACATTTAACGTAAATTTTGGAGCTGTTTACTATTTAAATTCTCTTATGCTCTTTCATACATGTAGATACTTTTCATGTATAAGAAAAGTAATGTGTACATAATATATACAATTTCTTGTATGTTTATGCAGATTATAACGAAACCATGATAACTCGTGTATATTCAGGTATAAATATTGTACATTGTTTTAATTTGTAATTATACTGTTAGAGCTTATATTGTTACAGTTGTCAATATGTAAATAATATATAAAACTTAACTGCACAGGAGGTTTGATTGAGTTTATTCGTAATATATTTAATTTTCATTGTATGTTAAATTAAAATAACGTTTTGAACTGTTGCATAAAATCTATTTTTATTAACAACTATACTTTACATTGTTTTTTAAAACCTTTACTTTGTTATATATATTGCATGTTGTAGAAAATGTGCGACTACTAACAAATTTATTAGAAAATAAATATTAAAACTGTTGAGCAATACACACGATAAAATTATTAAAATAAGTTAATAACAAAATCAAAGTACCTACATAACTTCCTATTTAAAGAGTACATATATTGTTACTACCTTGTGTATTTATTAACAGTAAAAAATAATGCAATAAAGGTAATGTTTAGATAAATATGTTCAATAATGTTTAAATATTAGTGACTGTGTTGCTAACAAATGTAATTAAATAAAATAAAGAATAATATATAATGTTGAATACTTATTTTTTATATTTTAATATTGTATTTTACTGTTTACTTCATTTGTTGCATATTAGTGGAAATAAAAAAATATAAAATATAATTCAAATATTACACTATAGATTAAAAATATTAAGCTATTACTAGAAAAAAATTTTACCTTCATTTATTGGCCACGTGTTCCATAAAACTTTTCTCCTGTTAATATTAAACAAATCTTGAGAATAATATTAGTTTTGCTTATAATGTTTACATAGTGCACAACAACTTACAATTAAAATTTCACTGTCGTAAAGATCCTGGTAGTTCTTAATAAGTGCTACAGTTTCTTCTTCTAATTTTTTTATTGTACTTTGTGATTTTTCTAGTTTCAGGTACTCATCATTATACTTCATTTTCATTTCTTCTAATCTCTCTTTACATAACTTTTTATTACTGAAATTTTAAGTTAGTGTAATTTTCCAATAGAAATAGTGAATTTGTATTTATTATAATTTATATCACCTTAATAACTGCATACTCAAATTACGTAAAGGCACGAGACGTTCTTCATATTGTGCATTAAGATTATGTACTTCAATCTCCTCATGTTGTTCCTTTTGAGTTTGTAATCTTTTTTCAAATTCAGTAATATCTGTTCTAAGCACATCTACTTGTTTTTTAACATTATTTTCTTGAATATCTACGTTCCTAAGAATAAAGGACAAACATACATATAAAATGACCAACTAAAAACTTTATCTAAAAGTTAGAAAAAAGATTTGTAAAAGTACTTTAATCGATGATGTATATCTTGAACTTCAACAAACTTTTCCAGTTGTTTCTGAACAAAATTTAAAATGTTTGTTTGTTGCTCAATTAAATGTTTTTTATCCAGGAATGCTTCTTGCATTGTTTCACGTTCTTTGACCTTAGCAGCTTGTTGTTTCTCTAACTCATTCAAACGCATTTTATATTCTTCAGGAGACTTTACAATCTCCGATTCTAATTGTGTAAGTGTTTTACTTAACTGTAATTATACATTATTTCTATTAAATTTAACATATGTACATATGTTGTACGTATATTTTCAATTAAATATTTTAGATTTTACCTTTGTAGCCTCTGCTTTCTTAGTTCCACAACGTTCCACTGCTTGATGTTTTTTCTCTTCTGCTTTATTTACTTTTGCCATTAGTTCCATATATCTTTTATTGTTCTTTTCAATTTTTGATTGTAATTTTTGAATTTCAGCAGCACACTAAGAGAAGATATATGAAATTATATGGTACTTAGAAATTACATTTATTAAATTCAATACCTTTTCCTTCACTGATAAATGCTTTGCTGTGTAGATTGCTTTCTCATTTTTAGCTTGTAATATTTCATTTTTCTTTTCTATTGTATCATGTAGTAGTTTGCCTTTACTTTGAATCTTGCTGATTTCATCTGCTATATCAGACTCTTTGTTAGTTGCATACAATATGAAATTTACAAGAAGCTTTGCATGTTTACGTACTTTCTTTGAACCTGTATAATTAGATGGATATAATTTAATGAATTCATTATGAGTATATTTCAGTATCATATTTCATAATGCATACCTGGACTGGATATATCTGTAATACATAAATCTTTCAAGTATATTCGATCACATATTTGAACCATAACAACATGTAAATTTATGAGTTTAATTATATCAGAATCTTCACAATATTTCATTATATCTTGTTGTTCCATTGTTGGCTACAAGAAAATAAAATTTAAAAGAGTTCATACAAAAAATATATTTTTGTATTTAAGTTATTTAAAATATTAAATATGATAATAATACTTTATCAATTGCGCCAACATCTATATGAAACCTTCTCAAAAATGTATTAATTAAATTGATAACAAATTCTTCCGTTGGATTCTTCAAGTCATTTATACTTGATGGAAGATCGGCTTGAATTAGAATATTATGTATTTTTTCTATGTCCAAATCCATTATTTTGATAAATTCCTTTTTATATAATAGTATTTGTTATAAAAATTCATAAAACTGCAGACGCCTTGCTTTAGACAGTTAGTTTTAAATGCATTCAAATTTGTGCATGCGCAATGAACGAATCAAGCTGCACAACATTTTTATGACTAGTTTTCAAATATAATTTTAATTGCAATATTTTGTGCATAAATATAACATGTAAGATGATAATTAAAATTGATTAATCTAGTTAGAAATTGGTAGGAAAGCTACAATTAATAAAAAATATATGTTATCAAAATAAAAGTTACTATTCGTTTTACATGTAGTCATACTCAGCAGATGACGAATTTTTGCTTGTTCTGCGCATGTCAGATCTAATTGGTACAAATGCACTCCGTAACCAAGGGTTATCCACATTTCCATTTCTAACTTTGGTGACGCCAGACATGTATAACGGGTGACGTTATATATAATATATCTGTTTCATAACTATTTATTTCCATTATTTGTATATTTTGTCCACCATGTATATAAGTGACAAAGTGTGATGGTTTAAATAGCTCTGAGTGGTGGGAAACCTTCTGAAGTTATCCGAGTTGCGCAAATTGAGTATGATCTACCATCGAGCAAGTAGTAGATACCAACAAATAGGTTAACTGCATTGGTAGCACTGTATGAATAGTAAGCACATCCAAACCTTTACAGATGATAGGCTACGTCACCAAGTAGTTTATACGAGGCGTTTGGTTACATATTTTTCTATTTCGACTAGTGGTTTTTAAATTATAACATTAGCTTTGATGTTTTGTATTTCTTCAAATCAAGTGACTTAAAAAGTTTCCTCACTAAAAATGGGATCTTCCCACAGTATTGAAATACCAGGAGGTGGTACAGAAGGTTACCATGTATTAAGGGTAAGGAAACTTGTCAAAATAGTATGATTTATTTAAAAAATGTACAATGTTTGCTTAGTAGAACAAATTTTAGTAAAGACATTGACAATCTGTGTTTCAATTGATGATAATTAGATAGTTGTAATTTTAAAAATTTAATTGGAGTTTTGTGATTAAACTAGGTACAGGATGGTTCCCCGGGTCAAAAAGCTGGTCTCGAAGCATTCTTTGATTTTATTGTAGCCATTGGAAATACTCGTTTGGTATGTACTTAATATAAATCTATATTCTTCATAGAAATCTTACATTCATTCAATATTAAATGAGTATAGTTTAATATTTAAATTACATTAAGGTTTCGTGCTTCTTTTGTCTTATAGGATCAAGATAATGACACATTAAAAGAACTTCTTAAAAACAGTGTGGATAGCAAATTATCTATGACTGTTTATAGTAGTAAAACACAATCTGTAAGACGAACTGTTATAGTACCTAGTCTTACCTGGGGTGGACAAGGTCTTCTTGGTATTAGTGTACGATTTTGTTCTTTTGAAGGTTCAAATGAAAATGTTTGGCATGTTCTTGTAAGTACATAGTGTAAAACAAAATGTGGTTTATAGTAAGAATAATGTATTTATGTAATATTATAAAACTATATTTTACAGGAGGTGCACCCATCTTCTCCTGCTGAGTTAGCAGGATTAAGGCCATTTACAGATTATATTATTGGTGCTGATTCAGTTCTACACGAATCTGAGGATTTATTTACTTTAATTGAAGCTCATGAATCTAGATCTCTTAAATTATATGTATATAACACAGAAGATGATTCTTGCAGAGAAGTTACAATTGTACCTAATCATAATTGGGGAGGAGAAGGAAGGTGTGTACATATTTTTTAATGCCATTGTAAATTACATAATGTAAAAATATTTCTTCAAATATTTTTCTTTCATAGTTTGGGTTGTGGAATTGGTTATGGTTATCTGCATAGAATACCCATTAGAAATGTTCAGGAACATAAACCTAACAATTCATACATGGTATGTACTATTTTATTGCAATATCGTATCTAATATGATAAAATACTTTATACTATTTAATTATTATTTATTTCTTAGAGTAATGTTATATCAAGTAATCAATTAGTATCTAGTCAAGTTACACCAACAAGTGTCACTTACTCTGGAGGAAGTAATGTTGTTACAAGTATACCTCCAGGTTTCTCTATTCCACCAAATTACATTTCAACTCAAGAATGTGCAACAAAATCAGAACTTGAAACCACTGTTCCATTGCAAACTACATATACATCAAGTACCCAAACATACACATCTCCTCAGTTGAATCCTACTACAGTTGGAGGATCTACTACTACTAATTCTGTACCTGATGTATCTAACCCAAGTAGTATAAATACTACATATGGTAAGTGTTAGAATATAATTAGATTTAATGTTATAGCACTGAAGAAGACGTACTTTTAATTATTTATTTTAATTAGGTAACGATTCTCTGTCTTATCAAAATACAATGCCAAATATACCTGGTATGCCGACTACGCCACCTTTACCAACTTTTACTACTACTAACCCGACGTCTTTGAATGAAACAACTGGCATTGCTGGAATGTCAAAAGATTATACAACCGTACAAGGCGGAATTTCACCTGCAGTACAGTTCAATGTGCCTCAGTCTAATGTAGTAACAATACCGATTTCGTTACCTGGTATGCCGCCAATTACCGTTAGTGCAGGTCTACCACAAAATACATCTTTCTATTCGTCTGTTCTTCAGCAAAATGAATTGACTAATGTTAGTACAGTTCCCACGTCTACGGTATCATCAACACAGTAATGAGTATATTATTACTGAATAAATATCTGTTATCTTTTATAACAAAATACATACTAAAGAATAAAAGTAAAACAAAGGTGTGATACAAACACCACAAACATACTATATTACTTTGTGAGTTTATACTTTATTACTTGTTTAATGTAGTGTATACAAATTCTTAAATATGGGAAAAAGATTATGCAGTTCTGTACATAGATAAAAGGTATTGAGTAATTATATAAATTAGAATTGAATTAAAGCATTTAAAAAAATGAGAGGTATTAAATCTTTATATATTAATTATTCTGCTTATTATATTTTTAACTGTGCATGTTTATAAGTTTTATTTTCTGTATCATAATAATTTGTAATAACATATGTAATAACATATGTATTAAATCATGTTACCTGTTTTATCTTTATAAGTATATGATCATGATTACAAAATTCTAATTTATTATTAAATAATAAAATAATGTTTGTAATATTAAAACTTTTTACAAGAGTACGTTTTTAAATTACTATTACAATTTATAATTATTACTTAACCATGTTTAAAAAGAAACACCCCTGAATTTACAAATATAGTTTCATATAAAAAATATATATTTTTTCTAGTAAATTCTTTATGGATTCTAAAAATGATAGGAATAAGATTATTCTGGTTTTAATGAAAACTGTTTATTTCTTTCTGTACATACCATTATAACTTAAAATATTACATAAATATTTATATAGCACTATCTAAAATTGCTAAGATTTACTTTTCTTATTATATACAATGCTTCTGGCAGTGTTTAAATAATTATTTCCATATCGCCAAGTTCTTCCTCACTTGGAAGTGTGAATTTTGATGGATCAACAGCATTTGGATCTATTAAAGGTAAACCATTCTCTTCTCTGTAACGAAGCTGTAAGTATGCTTCACGTTGAGCCCAATCTTTCAACTTAGGATCTGGCATATAGGCAATTAGGAATGCTCCACCCACAAAACATATACTAATAACAACAAAAAGTGTTTGATGCATGTAATGACGATCCATCTTTTCATCCTCGTCGTCGAATCCGTAACTGGTCCATGTACGTTTTACTTTAATTGGCTCTTCATTATCTGCTTCATGCTTTTTAACTTCCGAGGAGTAACTGCGTTGTGCTATATCATGAATTTTACTATCTTTCAATGTTAAACATAACACTCTGTTCCTAATTCCTGAAGAGCGAATAATTCGCAATAACGTTGACATGTTTCTTAATAACAGCAATTTGTTTCCAAAATGAATATACAAACGATAAAATGCCTTTGCTAGTTTCTAGTATTTACTATATCGTGGAAAATTTCAGAAACCAAAATTAGATAACTGCATATATGGTTACGTTTGGCAACGACTTGCTTTAAAGGTTAGGAACTGTACGCATATATTTTTGATTCGCCAAGAGGACAGGACAGTGATGGGCAGTCCCAGCGCATGCGCAATAAGCTATCCGTAGAAGCAGTGTTGGGCAGTCCTGAGATTTATCGCAGGCGAGAGCTTTATGCGCATGCGTCAGCGACGTCACAGCTTGCTGCCAATGCCGTACCTAGCCGGTACACGCAGTTGTGACTGATGAGGGCACCTTAATGATCCTACATAATTTTTCAAAAATTCTTATAATTGCACCGTAAACTATGAATGTATAGGTTGGGTTAGGTTAGTTATATATATGACTGTATAAAACTATACAACTATATATATGTATATATATATATATTGTGAATTATATAATATAATATACGGGAATAATATGATGGAATATGGGAGATTATTATATTTAAACTAACATAAAAGCAAAATAACTTTTAAAACACTAAATGAATTTATTATTTAAGACAAACGACATGGAACGACCTCTTTGAATAACTATATTTTATACGTGTGAAAATTATAATATCAGAGAAACAATAACAAAGAAATACATGGATTGTATTTTGTTAACATGCATAGATCTGATAAAAATCGAGCGGTATCTTTTTCCTTTGCTCTTGCAACAAATATTGATATTCATATAACAAATCGGCTGTAAACGTAAAAAATAATAATAATCATAAATAAATTTAATATTACTTTTATTGTATATAATCTGTTGTATTATTTCACACTTTTATTCTCTTTCCTGCAACTTTCTTCAGATTTATTTTTTTCCCTCACTAGGGCCTAATGATACCTTATATTTCATCAAAGTGTATACGCTACTGAGAACTTCTACGGATAGCTTACTGCGCATGCACTGGACCTACCCAACACTGCGTCGAAGTGTTATATATATATATATATAACACTGCGTCGAAGTGTTTTATATATATATATATATATATATACATACTATACTATATAGTATATATACACTATACTATATAGTATATATACACTATGTATACTATAGTATATAGTATATATATAGTATACTATACTGTATATACTATACTATACTATACTATGCTATGCTTTGCTATGCTAAGCTATGCTATGCTATGCTATACTATATATACTATACTATACTATACTATACATACTATACTATGCTATACTATATATACTATACTATACTATACTATACTATACTATACTCTACTATACTATATACACTATAGTATACCATATATACTATAATATATATAGTATTATATAGTATTATATATAATTATATAGTATTATATAGTCATATATATAACTACTTATATTAATACTCATATTATTACGCATATTACTACTTTTATCATCATTATCCTTATTATTCTTATTATTATCAATATTATTACGCATATTACTTCTTTTATCATCAAAATCCTTATTATTCTTACAAATATTGATATTATTACGCATATTACGACTACAATCGTTGCTGAAACTGTAATTATCCTTACTACTCTTATTTTTATCAATATTATTATGCATATTACTACTTTTATCATCAATATTCTTATTATTCTTACAATTATTGATATTATTACGCATATTACGGCTACTATCATCATTAACATTATCCTTATTATTTATACTATTATCAATAATATTACACATATTATTACTTTTATCATCATTATCCTTATTATTCTTATTATTATCAATATTATTACGCATATTACTTCTTTTATCATCAATATTCTTATTATTCTTACAATTATTGATATTATTACGCATATTACGACTACAATCGTTGCTGAAACTGTAATTATCCTTACTACTCTTATTTTTATCAATATTATTATGCATATTACTACTTTTATCATCAATATTCTTATTATTCTTACAATTATTGATATTATTACGCATATTACG